TTAAAGATCCGACAATGGACAGCAAGTTAGTTTATAAGATGCCCCATAAATCAATCCACTTTGTCGCCCTCGCATAGTCCCACAAAGCGTGTCTGCGGATAGCAGAAACAACACGCCGCTCTTGTGTCTCAACACAGTCTCATGCAGCTCCCCCTGCTAAAATCACACTGCCGAAACTTAGCAAAGACATTAAGGACACACCAGCCCTACTGACTGGAAATGCCAATTTTCACATGGTGTAGATTCGCAAGGTTGCATTCACATCAGGGGAAGGCAAAATTACAAAAGCACCACTTGCATCCACTAGCGAGCCTGGCAACACAAAATAGGCTGGCCAGATACCGATGAAGCCTAATGTTGCTAATGATGCAAAGGACTGCAAGAAGCCGAAGGCCAAACCTAAGTCTGAGGGTAGTCGATCTAACTCTCTCATCCTCTTTAATGTACCTGTGAGCACGGATAGCTTGCTCGAACAACGGGCCCTGTTTGATCAGGAACAGTGGTCCAACCTGTGCAGCAAACTAGGTCTGAACATTAGTTCAGCAAAACTGTGCAGACTGTACAGGGGTGTCCACACGCCTCAGGGTAAGCCACCCCCATTACGGGTTACACTGGACTCTGCCAAAGAGGCCGAAAAAGTACTGTTAATGGCTCAGGTACTAGCCCTGGACAGAAGTTCTAACATAAGGGCGCGGCAAGATAGACCATGGGCTGTCAGAAATATGGCGAGGGAGTCACCGGAACTGATGCCTTCCACCTCTATGGTGGTACACGGTGTTCCGGAGCTGGAAACCGGCACTGCTTGTGAAAAACACATGCACGACGTACAACAATGGAGATGGCTGTCATCTCAGATGGCCCCTGGCGCTTCTGGAGCCATCTCCATTTTCCGACTACCTCGTCCCGCTCATCTAACATTGATTAACTCTCCAAAGCTGCTATGTGTCACATTCAACTCCCCGGAGCAGTTGTCCATAGCACTTCAACGGTGGTATGAGACCAAGGGAAACATTGGAGGACACATCCGACGCTGTGAAAGCAGACCCAGAAATATAAGGAGGCAGCAAACTGAGGCTTTAATACGACCCCAAGCTTCGGTGACACTAGAGCGATGCAGCTCTGAGAATAATAGTCTGTGTCTCCCAAGTGTCCTGCCTAAATCCATTGAAAAAACTACAACGGGCCGGTTCTATCGGAATCGGCCAACTAGTTCAAACATCAAGTCCCCCCCCAGCGGACGGTTTCACGTCAACTACCCCACAACACTCTGAGGTTGTTAGACTCACTGTCAGTTGCCTATATAGCAATGTGAGGGGGCTGAGAGGAAAAGTAGGTGAACTCCGAAATCTCTAAGCACACCTTCAACTGAAAATAATCATTCTTACTGAAACGTGGCTAAACCCCACTGTCGCCGACAATGAAATCAGTATAGGTGATATGGTACTGGTCAGAAGAGACAGGGATAATAAGGAAGGAGGGGGAGTTGCTATATACTTTGATAGGCAACTTAAATGTGTGCGCGCAACGGACCCACCACTTATCGAACTCCCAGACTCCATATGGTGTCATTTCACCGTAGGCCACACCAAGCACTTACTGGGTGGCATCTACCGATCTCCCACCTGTGGGGCAGAGCACAATCAGCTGCTGCTCAGCACTATCACAGGGATACGAGATTTGGACTACGACCAAATCACCATAGCTGGAGATTTCAATGCTCCATCACTGAACCTCGGCTCCGGGTATGCTAAGGGAAAATTTGGCCGAAACCTACTACAAACTATTCGAAACACGGGGCTGACTGAGAATGTTGGAGACGACACTAGGTGGGGCCCTAGTGGAAAGTCATCAAAACTAGATTATATTCTAACTAGTGACCAGCTACTCGTCGAAAAGGTCCAGATCATGACTCCTCTGGGAAGCAGTGACCATGCAGTCATAGGTTTCGATCTTGTCCTCCGTGAGCGTTTGCAATGGGATGTTACGCGACCATGTCTGTGCTACAGCAAGGCTGACTATGCTGAAATGCGGAGGCTCTTGTCCGACGCAGACTGGCTCTTAGCATGGGACGACCTATCTGTGGATGAACGCTGGGAAGTGGTAAAAAAGATTATCCATACAGCAATCTCGGATACCACCCCTTTAGTCACAACACAGCCCAAGAGAAAGACGTCATGGTTGAAGAGAGGCACGCAACGTATTCTGCAAGCAAAGCGGAAGGCTTGGTTTACGTGGCGTGTATCTAAGAGTCAGACCGACCATGATGCATACCTCGAACTCAGGAACCGGTGTAATGCAAGAGTCAGGAGGGACAGAAGGTCATTCCAGGCTAACCTTGCTAAAAAACTCCTATCAAGCCCTAAAAGCTTGTACCGATTCATGTCGGAAAGAAAACCGACAAACCAAGGGGCATGCGCCTTAGTAGGCCCAAACGGTCAATATCTCACTAGTCTGGAGATGGCTGAAACATTCAGTTCAGCCTTCGCTAAACAGCTAAACAGCAATGTGGATATTACAGTTACGGACCGAAATGGTGGCACCACTATTTCAGAGGAGGAAGACCTAGCGACTACTCCCCAAATAAACCCCGCAATAGTACTAAGGAAGCTACAGCGACTCATACCTGGGAAGTCCCCAGGTTGTGATGACATCAGGCCATCTGTTCTGAAACAGTGCGCCGAGGCTCTCTGTAGACCCCTGTACGACTTGTTCCAACACTCAATGGATTCGGGGACCCTGCCAAGGGAGTGGAAAAGAGCCATCCTTTCTCCAATCTTCAAGGGTGGGGACAGGCAAAACGCTGCTAGCTATAGACCAGTAGCTCTACTCCCAGTGGTATCAAAACAGCTGGAAAGTATTATTGACGACCACATCAGGGAATATTTCGATAGGACTAATATACTACATGAAGCCCAAGATGGTTTCAGAAAAGGCAGATCCTGCGTCACTAACCTACTGTCAGCTTGGGACGACTGGACATCATGCTGGGACATGAACGTACCAGTCCATGTGGTCTTCCTAGACTTTGAGAAGGCATTTGACCCTGTTCACCATGACCTTCTCCTGCATAAAATAAGCCAGGCAGGCATAGGTGAGCCACTTCTGTCATGGTTGAAGGACTACCTAGCCGACAGGCAATTTTGCACTAAGGTTAACCGAGTCCGATCATCTTGGCACAGATCGTCATCAGGAGTGTCGCAGGGTTCTATCCTAGGACCACTGATGTTTTTGATTTTCATCAATGATCTACCACACCGTCTGAGCTGCCCGACTCTCCTGTACGCTGACGACGTAAAAATATGGAGGGCGATAAAGTGTCCGGAGGACTCAGATAGGCTACAGGAAGACCTAAACCTTCTGGAAGACTGGGCGGTGGCCAGTGGCATGACTTTCAACTTGAAAAAGTGCAAAGTAGTGAAGTTGCGCACCTGTAGACTGCAGAGTGGAAGTTACACCCTGTGCAATGAAAGCTTGTCCTGCACAACGTCAGAACGCGACTTAGGTCTAGTTCTAACGGAAAAAATGGACACAAGCGTAAATTACACAGGGGATGTAGCGAGGGCATATGCGGTCATACACTTTACGCATAGACAGTTAGGTGCACTCACTCCTGAGCTCTTTCTAATGTTGTGCAAAACATACGTCAGGCCACACCTTGAGGTGCATAATATTATTGCACCCCCAATGCTGAGAAGAGACGCTAACCTCTTGGAAAGAGTCCAACGACGGGCAACAAAAGGAGTGGTTGGTCTCCGAAACAAACCATATGATGAAAGGCTGAAGAAATTAGGCCTGTTCACACTTAGTTACCGTCGGCTTAGGGGGGATTTGATTACTGCCTACAAAATAACAAATGACCAGAATCACCCAAACAAAGGTGTCCTGCCATTGAGTAGGTATAGGCTTCCACGTGGAAATCTCAGAAGGATAGCTCACCAGAGGGCAAGGACCCGGGTGCGCTCCCACTTCTTTTCACTGCGGGTTTGTCGTCCCTGGAATTCCTTGCCGGCAGATGTAGCTATGGCACCGTCTTTGGACGCCTTTAAGCGAAGGCTGGACAACCATGCAGCGATACAAGGACTGCATCCAAATGGCCTATCTCCTTAAAATCGCATATACCAATCAGGGTAGATAATTAAACTCGTCATTTTACTTCTTTACATTCTCTCCCGTCTTACTCTCCTGACAACTTATTAATATTATAATTACTATTATTATTATTATTACTATTACCGATATATATATTATTCTTCAAACTTAATGAGCTGACTGTTGTTACGTTTCCTATTTCCGTTTCTGTCTCTTAGTCTGAATAGCTTCACTAATTATATCTATTATTATTATTACTATTATTATTATTATTAATATCTCTTTTCTCTTGTCGACGATACCGAAGGACTAACTGGCGAAAGGATCAACTCCGATCACAGTAGTAACAGTCTTAACATACCTCGTACTACAAACCACATATAATTAATCCCAGCACTACTCCCTTTGGAGTCAACCAAAGCTACTAATGTCAGCTCATGATGAAATCCTGAAACCAATCAATTCCCTACAAACCAACACTTGAATACCAATGATATGCTCACTGGCGACTGGCCCTATTCAGGTAGGTAGTTACCTGGGTTCCAGTGGGAAGTCGTGACCAGTAGGGTGCAGCTGGTCGGGTGTGAGGACAAATACTCGCCGAAGACATTGGCTAGCGGTCGCGCTATGTCGTGAATTGGCAGAAGTTAGAATTCAAGGACCATTGGATCGGGTCCCAGTGGCTTAATGGTGTACGAGCTCACCTTGTAACCGGAAGGTCCTGGGTTCGAATCCCGGTGGGTGCGTACTGATGAAGAGTCCCAAACTAGGACGAAAAAGCTGTCCAGTACTCCCAGGTTTTCCAATGGTTCTCTAACTAATGTCAGCTCATGATGAAATCCTGAAACCAATCAAGTCCCTACAAACCAACACTTGAAAGCTACGACAGTCGAGTGGCGGGACAAGCTACGCGGAAGTTTACCGAAGATCAGGAACCTATACCTCACAATCAAGAAGCGAGCACAAAGAAATCAAATTGGTTTATACTAGCTCGTAAAAACGATATTGGATATTGGACATTGAGTCTTCGCGCCTAAGTCAACTTGTCACGTACTCCACGAACTTTTCTCGTTGCTATAGTCTTTCGCTCTGCTCGCAGGATTGTTCCCCCTTTGTGGTTTAGTGTGGGCTGTTGGGCAGTGTGTTCGCTTTCCTGTTTTTCAGGTGAAGCTGCCTCCGAGCTTCAGTTGTCACAATTTGTCCGATGAGGTCAGTTTCAGTCCGTTCGTTATATAACATGTATATATAAGCAAACGCAAGTGTTTAATCAATTAAATTTAACTGATTAAGCACTTGCATTCACTATGTTTATTCTTTATAAGTTACCGCAATAATATAAGAGGATGAACGCCCATTATTGTCTGTCTTTTATCCCTCTTAGCGAATCTAAGCGCGGAAGGAGATCTATCATGGGTCTTCTAGACCTAACAAACATCATTGATTCCTCACCAGAAAGTGCCGACTCGGGTGGAACTCTCAGAAGGTCCTTGAGATTACGCCGCAAATCCATACCTGCAGCGTCCCTTGGTGGACAAACACACCCATCTAAAAGATATAGTCGAAAGTCAGTGATTAATCCGCAAACTCATGTAAGTGCGTCTGCTACGTTGAATAAGTCGCCTATGTTTATTTTTTTTCATTCCTTCACAGTCCCAGTGGAACAAAGGGCCTCAAGCTTGAGGCTTGAAGTTTCTGTAGCAGCGTTTATTTTTACAGGATGGGGTCCCCAGCAGAATGGCAAGGGTGTAATACTAAACACATGTTCAACGTCAAATTACTTTGGGTGCGCAAGAATGAAAATAAGTCAGCACACCAATATAAGACGACAGCACGTGGGAATACTGAAGACTTTGAATGGAAATTACATACAAGTCTTAGATGTTTAATTTTTAAGCTCTTGTTGAAGATTAATGCCTGGAAAGGAAGATAAAGTACGAAATTGCCACTGACACGATCCATACCAAGAATCAGCTTTTCTGCAACCAATGGTACAGACGACTTTAACTTCACAGGCATTTACGTCAAGCCTTCTTATGCTTCGTCTTGCTTACAAATATGTCGTTAATTGCATTTTGAACGCTCCAGTGTCCATGGAGCTCTCCCTTACACAGAATGCATACTTCTAACAGTTTAGAGCTACTATCGTATGCGACACCATTCAAAAAGTCATAAGATATTCCCTCAGAGTAAATCTCTGATGATTCCTGGATCTGAAATCTTATTTTCCCTACTCAATAAATCATACATGCGCATAAGTCAAGGGGGTTCAAGGTGTCACACTTACTCTTACCTAATGCACCACATTGCTCCCTCACTTGCATTAACCGCCAGACCAATATCCAATGCTCAAAATCGATCTTTACGAGCTATTGTAAGCCAATTTGACTTCTTTGTGTTCGCTTTTTGGTAGTGAAGTAAACTTTCGCGGTCCTCAGGAAGCTCCTTCGCAGTTCGTCCCGCCACTCGACTAATGTAGCCTTGGCTGACTCCCAGAAGATGGGTGGGGAGACTAGTTTATGTCGCAGCTGTTATTTTCTGAGTATTGGGTTTGCTATCCTTATGTCCAATCCTAACTCCTTAGCAGTTGTAATAATGGCTTATCGTATTAAAGGTGTACGTCGGTTAGGTTTGAAACCCGATGCACATCAGTGGTCGGAGAGCATTCTGCCTGTGTGCTACTAACGGTCTGTGTTTATGTTATCACTGTTTAGTAATCTTTGTTCTCCATACTGCTTCATTTCAGATTTCCCAAACTGAAACTTCAGTAAAAAGACAAGGTATTTATTTATCGGATTCACCGTATTGGATATCCATAACACACTACCTTATTGGTCTTGTTTCTCATTCGAATGTAGTCTGTGTTGGGATTGTTCACAGTTGGCTGATGGATTTGTTAGCTATATCAAAGTCTACTACGATTATTCGTCACGTTTTCTATGTGCGAATTTTTCAGTGCTTCTGTTTTAAGATGTAACAACTGGTAGTCCTTTTCAACGATAAATCAAAATATTGAAAGTAATGCGGTATAGGTCATGTGAAAAAATGGACCACCATGTTATCATTTTAACGTATGCACTGTCTTTGATTGCATAGATGAATTACATGTCTGTTAATTTACGTATATCAGTTCTGATATATATATAGATATCCGAATTCAAATAGTTATTCCATTCGTTAACCGTCGCTAGCTTTCGCGAAATCGCTCACTTCTGTCCACTTTGAGTACCCAGTCGCCTTGTGTGAGAACCAAGCATTTTGATTTAGTTGTCATTGATATAAATAGCCCCTTTCTCCTCGTCTCTCCTTGTTCATCAGTCGTACAAATCTATAGTGCACATTTAAGTTGGTTTTCCGTTAGTCTGTGTGACGGTTCGAGCACATGCTCATTTGAACTTCATTGTCTTGCTCTAAGATATGCTCGGCGTGCACCTCTTGTAGATTGAATTTTGTTGATGTATCATATTGTATTTCAAAAGCCACTATTTTCGTCGTCTTGGTTCTCGAATAAATAGGACGTACAAACTGAATAGCTATTAGCTAGGTACATCAGAGTATGCTTTACATTGCTAGTATCTTCAACTATGTGTAATATATGGTACTAATCCACACTTAAATTAATATTCTTTTTTTGTAGACGAATGCAGCTTATGACGCATCGTGCAGTTCTTCTCATTCGCCTGCCCAAAATGAAAATAATATACCATTTACGGATATTTCTGCACAGTCATGCTTTACTGCGTCACCTGATAAGATATCTGTCTTATCGCAAGATAAATTGGAAAATGTCAGACCTCAAAGTCCTCTGCACATACCATCAGACATTGCAAACGTCTATCTTCCTGATAAGTATACGCCCCCAAAACACAGGGGTTTGCCAACTATTTTCGAAAATTCAGTTGAAAAAAATCAACGCTCCCATAAGTCCTGCAGAAACACTGAACGTTCCCCCTTAAGAAGGCAGATATTTACAGGACTAACACTCGAAGAAGCATGCAACCCTACAGGTCCCGGCGTCGCCCCTCTGGATCGAGATCTTGTCTTATCAACAACACGCAAGCGTGTCGCACAGCGCCGAAAGCTTGCCAAGAAGTTAGGATTTAAAGGCATTACCATATCCAAAAAAACTGAGAAAAACTTCAGCAAATTCGTTTTAGAATCAGCTTTAAATTCTTCTCAAAGTAGTTCAACTTCTGATTGAGTGGAGAAAACTTTCGTAGACTCCTCTGTGTAAGAGTGTGTTTCACTCCCTACTGCATCTTTCAATAAAATATATTGTATTAGGTTTTTTAAATGTATATTTACCGCTTTGTTCCTGTACATCTATGGCATTTTACTGTTTGTGGAAAGATTTTATATTTATGTACCATTAACTTTAACTGTTTTTAACTTCCTATTGTACAGTAAACACTTGATTGATACGGTAAACTAAACCTTGTTTTAACCGAAATATTTGCTTCTCACTTTTGCCGTTTAGACCTACGGCTAATTGATTAAGGTGCTTGGATTTCAGCCACTGGTGTGTGAACTCGAACCGAACCAACCCTTGTATGTAACTAATGAACGTGTGTAATTAAATGCAAGTGGTTGTTGAGCAATCTCCCTCTTCCAAGACTGAACATTAAAATCTACGCGAAAAGATCCAAATAACGTAAGGGTTGTTTGGACATTTGAAAATTGAGAAAATATCTGCAATTGTTCGCAGTAAAGCTTAAGTGACTTTCTTAAAGTTACATAGTGACTTGTCGTTGTTAAACATTGTCATTTAAAAGATCTGGTCTTGCTTACATTATACGTTTGCTTTTTTAATTATGTTAAGGTGAAACAACAATCGGATCATGATAAAATGATATTAGTTGATTTTCTGTTTTAAAGAAACTGATTATGAATTGAAGTAGTTGCAGTATGAGAATATGAGGACCAAATACTTCAACATAACAGGAAAGTACTGACCCCATAATTAAAAACTGCAGAATCTTTATGAATGTTTGATCAGCATATGGTAAAGTTGTCTAGGTATTGATATAAATACCTTGAGCATTGAAGTTAATGGCATGAGTTAATGTGCAGTTCAACTTAGATTTCTCGTTTTACTAGTTTGTGTTGCCAATCTTTCCCTAATATGGCAATTTTTTTTCTTTTTTAGTAGTGCTTTTTGTGAATATATTTCATAATTAATTGTTCTCTTTGTTCCCTACTCGGCATTACTATGAGCTCCACTCATGTCGTTTTGCTAGCGTAATTTCCTTCTATTCATCAAGTGGTAGATATCTTAATTTGTTTATACATTTTTGGCTCTACGAACGTTTTGATTGCAACGATCTTCGTTCAGCTTTTCATAATGTAGGCATTCTTATAAATAGCTCTGTTCACTTCCCTACTCAGGTTTCAGTCAATAATTTTCTGTGAATTACAATTTGTGGATATTTCTTACTTATTTTGATAAAGTCAACTAAGAAAGTGTCGAAATTGTATTAACTTTTAATCTTAGAAGTTGGGTATTACTAATCAGTAAAATACAACAGAAATTTCCTAAAGTATTGCTTCTAATCCTTATTTCATACAGGCAATAAGAGTAGTGACCAAATACTAACTGTCGTTTTTCTAGTGCAAAGAAATTACTCCAATATTTTCATCCCTTGTAATGCGTGTTGTAAGAAGACATTAGGTGACTCATTCCCAATTGTTTGTGTATTTACCATTTAATTGTTAACAAAAAGAAAACATTTCAGGCATATCTTAGCAAGTTTTGATTTAAGTCATTGAGAAGTAACTTCACAATCTGAAAAAAAATAACCACGTGACAGCTGTAGTAACTCAAAGCATTATTCACTATTGTAGTTGACTCACACTGCAACTGAATGTTCGTCTTCTCGGAGTATGCGATAGTCGGTATAAAGGTGAATGATGGACCTCTGTCAATTTGAGATATATAGCGCCAGCCAATGACATCGGCGAGTATTTGATTGCCACTTATGGTTTAATTTAGGTCACCATGTGTGGTCAGAATAATTTAGATATCCTAAACGAACTGTGGTGAAATCTTGTCTCGAAATGTGCACCTGCCTGAATTCGAACTTTCTGATAATGAGCCTTTTTTCAACATGTGCCATTTTTTTTACTTTTTGCACATTGGCTAAGCACAGCGCTCGGTTAAATCGGAGAACGTTATTTGTATCTCTTCCACAAATCCTGTTACTAATCAAGACGTCAAAGACAAGATCTCACTGTTGACAACTTGGACACGTATTCACTCGCTCCTGTAGACTGATGTACATGAACCGTACCAACAATTGTCTGTGTTGTACGGTAACGACAGAAGACAAGGGAATTTAATAACGGAATTATTTATTGGCAAGTCGATACACAATTATAGGCAAAATACGTATGTATTAGAATCACAATTTGTATATATGTTCCATAGTGTGCGTCTTTGTCTTCGTTTCATGTTTTCCATGTTGTTTCACAAGCATCATTCCTTAAATCCATCTCTCTGCTAGTCGAAATTCTTGCAGATGACACACATATTCAAGTATGCATCTATGTACTACTTATAAATCCTGTCAGTAGCACACGCCACACTGCTTACCTATTTCCAATCCCCATACTGTATGAACTAGTAAATACTATTTATCTGGTCACTTTACCACTTGAAACCAATTTGATTTTGCTTACGTAGTCATATATATGTCAGAAAATTTATTCGTCACATGTCTATCTAATAATATTACGACAACAACTCATAATTTTTAAGGACATGAATAGTATTTTTTAAGAAGAAGAATCTTTGTTCAGACAAACTTATGAGGTTTATAGCCATGGTATTTAAATATCCCATTGAGTGGAAGATGGCTATGTAGGATTCATTAATTTACCCATACATCAAAGGTATGATTACATCAGCATTCACAAATCATTATATTATTATCCTACCTTGGACATAGAATTGCCAACAGATATCGCCTTAAACATTTCAGTGCTTTTCTTCAGTTTAATGTTTCATATGTATGATATGTTTTGTTATGGATTAGGTTGGTGATCCGTCACCTATCTTTATCGAGACTCGCGAATTTAAGTGAAGTGCCGTCCGTCCTATTTGGGATTTTTCAGCCAGTAGTAGATTTGCATTAAAGGAGTTAAATAACTATTAGATTTACTATTAGATTAGATGAATAATTTAACGAACGAATTGTAATCAGAATGCACATAAGAACAAAGGAAAATATGGAATTATCTAAGATTTCTAAAGAAATACACGAGTTATAAGGAGTTACAAAAACAAACAAAACTCAAGACAATAGAAACCAAGAAGGTTGTTACCATAATAGTAGAAGTGGTTGAATGGTTGTATTTTGTACGCATGGCTCCAGTGTTTTCTACTTGAATGACTAAGGCCTCAACAATGCAAAGAATACGAAAGCGTTTTGACTTTGCTCACAGTGAATGGAAATGTTCCCACTGGGTCTCGAACACAGCATTCATAGTTTTAAACGTCAGAGTGACATTCACTAAGCTACTGAGCCTTTGAGATGCACTAACGATAATTAAGTAAAGTTTCTTACATGGCTCTCTTAAAGTTTATAAGAGTATTGCGACGTCAAATTTCTGTCCTGTTGTGGATCTGAATTATAGAGCTGACACAGTCTTAACTAATTTAACCTACACTCAACTTTGGTAATCTGGAGGGGTAGGGCCTAAAATCTCAAATGTACCTTTTTTATTTTTGATTACAGCTTGATTCGACACTGTATTTTTGGTACAAGTATGGAATTTCCAGCATGGATATCGGTAGCCCAAATTTCGCAAGCCGACCATAGATATCAGTTGTGCGTCGGCGGGGATCGAACCTCGGACCATGTGCATGGTCGGCCACCGAATCGGGTAAAGCACTGATGAGGTTGACCAAAACGAGTAAAAACCCCACATTTAGATCATTTCGGTTTGCATTGAAAAGGACATTTCCCGCCGCTGGACTTATTCCATTTAACAACACATACGCTCGTTAACCCTGTCAAAAGTAGACAAGTATCTTGCTCATGCCAACTCCATCCAGAAAAATTTCAGAAATTAGAAACAATGTTTCATATCAGAAGCCTTTTGCATTAACTGGTATTTAAGCTGTCCGAATAGGAATGATGGACTAATCTAACCAGGCTGCAACAACTCTCCCCCGCCCATCCTCAAAGAAGTGACAGAACCAATACAGACGTGATGAGCAGTTTTCATCATGTAAACAAATGCTGTTTTTATAATTTCATACACTTATCAAATCCAACAATCTAAACTTAGTTACGTTTACCAATTGACAATATGAAAATTACCTCATGCTGAAGAACGATGACTAAGTTATTGTAATATAAGCTGAGATTTTGTAAATTCCGGTTTAATAATACTTTGATAAAGCTATCAGTATTAAATAGCCAAACGTGAGTGACGACAACATCGCTCTTTTTTTCATTCGCTGGGAAATGATGACCATTTAGAGTAAATTCTCGCGTTAATCACTACCACTACCTAGCCGAAAATTAGCAGTTGATTTCTTTATTTAAAACACATCAGCAACGTGTGACCAGATAACATCGAAAATTTACAAGTCAACCGATGATCTACCTGGTTAAAAGTTCACTATTTCCTTTTGACTGTTTTCAAAATAACTTTGCAATTTGATATGAAATTTTCACCTTGGAAATAATATTGTGGTGGTGTGTGATACAGACAATGGGTTCTAACGAAATATTATTCTCACAGTAAGAATCATTGTATATGTTGGTGTTAACATCTGAATACTATTCTCACAGTTCAGTACTGCATTAGAAACAGAATAATATATTTATTTGAGCATTCCATTTCACGTCGTTTAGTGTAAACCAAAATCACAAGCTCAGTGATTCGTTAAAGAATATAAACTGTATAGATATGAATAGCTATTAGATCACTTGAAAATATACCTTGGCGTCCCTGTCTTGCCTTCTGCTGTTACAATATAACATTATTGACTGATGATCATACAGACGGAATTTACCAACCATAGTTATTAACTATGTAGGAAAATAAAATATTCAATCAAGGAAGCTGCATCACTGTGGATTAAATCAAATGGAAAAAGCTAATGCGAACTTTGAATTAAGTTCAGATGTAATTAGAATCTAATACAAATTGATGCACTACAGTGTTTTAGGGATTCAATTCATTCTACTCGACTGTAATAAGTAGGCTATTGTTTGAACTTAGTGATATATATTTGAATTATCTTAAAACGGAACCTATGTGATAAATGTGACAATGGCCTGTGTATTATTACGTCAAGAGTTACATCTAAAATACCGACTTCTGTTATACTTTTGATATATAGTCTCATAATGTCTGCTTTGTTTTGACAATCTGATATGTTTGCTATGTGCATATTTGTCGTTATTCCATTATAACTCCCGATATGCTTTGTCTGT